CGGAGTCTGGCCGGAACGCACAAACAGCGAGGGGTCAGCAGAGGACGGAAAGAACTGCAGGTCTGCTAACGTGGCACGCAGCGTGTCGTGCCACTCGCGAGGAGCCTGACGCAGGCCGTAGACCGGGCGCCTGAGAAGCCACTGGGTCCCAGGGGGGAAGGTACCAGTGAAGCCCTGTGGTCGGCGCAGGTAGACCTGCTCGTGTAGGCTGCCCTGAAGAAAGGCAGTAGAGAAGTCGAAGGAGTGAAGCTCGTAGTCGCGCTGTGCTGCTACGTGTAGCAGCGCCCGAAGAGTGGTCATCTTCGGGGTCGGGGCGAAGGTCTGGAAGAAGTCAACCCCCTCGCGCTGACTCAAGCCTCTGGCCACGTAGCGCGCCTTGAAGACAGGCGGCTCTCCAGGGGGGCGCTTCACCTTGAAGAGCCACCGACCATCGACTACGTTCACCCTAGGCGGGGGAACTGCGTCGACTTAAGTGCCGGTGGACCTCCAAGATGCCATCTCCTGCTCCATGGAAGCTATCCATTCAGAGGCCCAAGGTCCGAGGTGGCCTCAGCGTAGGTGCGAGGAGTCAGGATGTCAAAGGCGTCTGGGTCACCCTCAGGGACTAACAGCATGGAGCAGATATGGGGAGCAGCCTCGGAAATGAAAGCGAGCTCGTACTGCCTGTCCTCTAGGACGTCACTGCCAAGGGCAGGAGCACCCCTGATGGACGGAGGATGGGCAGGGTCAGAGACCAGAGCGGTAGCATAGTCAAGGCGGCGGGTAGAGGCGAAGTCAGCGACAGCAGCGACAAGCGCGTCAAGGCGAGAGACAGGAACAGCAGGGTCGGTAACAAGAGAGGCAAGAACCCGAGGGACAAGGGGACGAGCGGCACGGAGGTAGTCAGAGAATGGAGGAGGTGCAACAGCAAGCGACGAGGGAGGAGGTGACGGGAGGAGGGGAGGACGAGACGAGTGGGAACAGAGCAACATAGGGTGGGAGCGCAAGACAGGAGAGGCGGGACGGGCACGTGAGGGACGACGAGACCAAATGTGGGACGGAGGTGTAGGGTCAGGAGACAGCGGAGGGGACACAGGAGGGGAATGAGGAGGAAGACGGGCCGGAGACAAGTCCAGCGGCGGGAACACAGGGCCGTAGATATGAAGGTTAGCAGGTGGTGGGGGATACACCGGCGAGCGGTCAGGGGAGGGAAGGCCGAGCAGGCGGAGAGCGGAGACCGGCGGCGACGGCTGCTGCGACGGCTGGGCCGCGACCCTCGGACCGGCAGAACTCTCAACGGCAGCACCCCCAGAACCTACACCTCCAGAGCGAGAACCCTCTCCAGCACCAGCGGCACCCCCAGGCCAGCCGGGACAAACCACGCCGGGAGCCGCAGAACGAACACCCTCCTCAACGCCAGCACCCCCAGAGGCCAAGAGCGGCGGCGGCAGCGGCAGCGACGGCGGCGGCGGCGGCGGCGGCAACGGCGGCGGAGGCAGCGACTGCGACAAGGGAGGCGGAGACACCGGGGAAGGGGGACTCGGCAAGGATGGGGCGGGGGTACCACCAGAGTCAGCAGACTCCTCAACGGGGACAACCGACGGGAGAGGAGTGACGTGAGAGACACCAGACGGGGCAGGACGAGGCTGGGGAGGAGGAGGGGCGACCGGGGTAGAGGGAGCAAGGAACAGGGGCGGGGAAACCGGGAGACCTCGGTGAGGGAAGCGGCGGTAGAAGGAGACAGACTCCTCAAAGGTGACGTCACGAGAGTGGAGGAAGCGGTGAGACGGTGGGTGGTAGAAGAGCCAGTCAGACGAGTCCAGTGGGAAACCAAGGAAGACACAGAGGACAGTGCGGGCAGTGAGCTTGTCTGTACCAGGGGCACGAACGTGAGCAAGGCAGCCCCAGACGTGGAACGCAGACACGTCACCGGGGGACCCGGTCCAAAGGAGGGTCGGCGAAACCTGCGGCCGCTGGGAGCGGGGCCACAGGTTAAGCTGGTGAGCAGCGTAGCGAATAGCGAACGGCCACAGAAAATGGGGGCAATCGGCATGAATCATGGAGGTGCGAGCAACCTCCATGACCAAGCCGATGCGGCGCTCAGCAACCCCATTCTGCTGTGGTGAGTCCAGCAAGGTGTACGACTGGGTGATGCCCTCCGCACGACAGAACTGTCCAAGCCGACCAAAGGCGAACTCGCCGCCACGGTCAGAGTGGAGACACAACACGGGGAGACCACGGTGAAGACGCGCAGCCACAGCCCACGGGAGAAGAACGTCGGGCACGTCAGCCTTCCGCTCCAGGGGAAACACCGTGATGTAGCGCGTGTAGTCGTCGACGAGCAGAAGGAAGTAGCGCTCACCTCGCGGTCCGGGGACGGGGGCAGGGCCCCAAACGTCCAGGTGCAGGGTCTGAAGGGGGGCAGTAGCAGGGCGCAGCGAGGAGGAGAGAGGAGCACGGCGGAGCCGGCCCTCGACGCAAGGCGTGCACAATGGCGCAGTCGAGGGGGGAAGGGCAGGGAGCGACGCGGGGAGACCTAAGACAAGACCGTGCTGGGACATGTGACGCAGACGTGGCAGAGCAGGGTGACCTAGGCGGTGGTGCCAGAGAAGGGACGGGTAAGTGAGGGACCGACACGAGCAAGCTGCAGCGACCTGGGAGGACGCACCAGCCGGGGGGGAAGCGGTGTCGAGGGTAAACGGACACCGGGTCCCAGGGGAACGTCGCAAGGGGGGAACCTGAGACAGCCTGAGAACAGACTGCGAACCGCTCGTGCCCGGGGAACATGGTGGTGACACCGAGGTCCTGGAGACAGCCGACACCAACCAGGCGGGAGACGGGCCCACGGCTGCGGCGACTGCTACTGGGACGGCGGCTGCTGCTGGGGCTGCTCCTGCTGGGGATGCTGCTCCTGCCCGTTGGTGGTAGTCCCCTCAGGCGGACTACCGTCACGACCACCACCACCACCACCTGCGCCACCACCCTTACCTCCCTGGCGCCCACGGCCACCGCGGCGCGAGCGCTGCTGCGGGTGGACCGCAGCAGCCGTCTCGGTGAGAGGGGTCGCCGTGGCGACCGCAGCCGAAACGTCAGCGAACGTGCACTGGGAGGGGGCACAGCCGTGAAAGATAGAGACTGCCGGCGCACCGCTCGACTGAGCGATAGTGCGCTGGCGAGTCTCGATCTCGGTGAGGGTGTCGACAAAGGCAGGGAGGGTGAGGTCACCCGGGTGCTGGCTAAGGAAGTGATCGCGAGCACTAGCGAGGCGGTCTGGCAGGCGCATAGCGATAAAATAGAGCGTTATGCAGAAGGGGGGTGGGAGCACAGTGAGCTGGGCAGCAGTGCTGGCAGTGCGATAGCGGGTCTCGAGGGCACGCAGGTGAATGGCAAAGTCTGCGACGGTAGGGAAGGCTGCAAGGTCTGGGAACAACATCGGGAAGAGCAAGCGACCACCAGAAGCAGACGCGGGTATGGAATAGCAAGCAATAACGGCGTCTAAGTAAGCTTTGGCCGTCTCAACAATAGCAAGACGCGAGCGCTCAGACATAGGGAGGGCGTGGCTAATAGCAACCTGAGCGACTGCATCGCGGGAGTCCCAGACCGCACAGGCAAGCGCAGCAGTAGAGAAGGTCTCACGGTCATCAGAGGAGGGGTCAGCAGGGAGGGGAACAGGTGCGGGGGGGCGGGGGAGCAAGCCATCGACATGGACAACCAAAGAGTGGCCATCCTGGCGCTGACCTGTAAGGTGGCGGCGGAGATCGGAGAGCCAGGTGGCGAAGTCAACCGCATGGCCCTTCGCGTCCAGTCGGAGCACGAAGTCAGCCATCGTGCAGGGTCAGCGGCACAGCTCCACAACTCCGTAGGAACACAGCGACGCAGGGACACGGCGGCAGCACTCTCCAGCACGGCAGCCACGAGGCGCCCCAGCACTGACGAGCAGGGTAGACAGAGCCCGCGCTGGCACGAAGAGTGGCCAGGCGGGCAGTGGGAGAGGCCAGGAAGGCGCGGCGGGGCCAGGCAGGCGCGGCGGGGCCAGGCAGGCGCGGCGGGGCCAGGCAGGCGCGGCGAGGCCAGGGAGGCGCGGCGGAGCCAGGCAGGCGCGGCAGGGCCAGGGAGGCGCGGCGGGGCCAGGCATGCGCGGCGGGGCCAGGGAGGCGCGGCGGGGCCAGGCAGGCGCGGCGGGGCCAGGGAGGCACGGCGGGGCCAAACAGGCGCGTCGGGGCCAGGCAGGCGCGGCTGGGCCAGGCAAGTGCGGCGGGGCCAGGCAGGCGCGGCAGGGCCAGGCAGGCGCGAAGGGGCCAGGCAGGCGCGACGGGGCCAGGCTGGCGCGACGGGGCCTAGCGGGCGCGACGGGGCGAGGCAGGGCGCGACGGGGCCGTAGCGGGCGCGACGGGGCCTAGGAGGCACGACGGGGCCCAGGAGGGGCGCTAGGAGGCGTGACGGGGCCCAGGAGGGGCGCTAGGAGGCGCAACGGGGCCCAGGAGGGGCGCGACGGGGCTAGGAGGCACGACGGGGCCCAGGAGGGGCGCGACGGGGCTAGGAGGTGCGACGGGGCTGGGAGGCGCGACGGGGCCCAGGAGGGGTGCTAGGAGGCGTGATGGGGCCTAGGAGGGGCGCAAGGAGGCGCGACAGGGCCCAGGAGGGGCGCGACGGGGCTAGGAGGCGCTGTCACAGGATCGAATGTGTCGAGGAAAGGTTGCACTATCGATCAGTACAAGGTGCTTTTATACTTCCAAATTACATCAGGTAACCAGGTTTATCTTATCCTAAGGAAATAGACCCTTCTAGAAGATAGAATCACCCTGCGTATAGCCACGCGAGGCTATTGGCTTTAAGGGATTACGGCAGGATTACGCTAGATATAGCGCACCAGTACATCCCAAGCCTGGTCGGTGATATAATTATAATAGCAGGATAAACCAAAGGTTAATGGGAAAGGAAGAATAGGAAACCAAATGAGAGGCGGTAAAAAAGAGAAATGAAAAGGGAAGGAAATAAGAAAAGGCCAAGTGGTGTAACGGGGTCGTACTCTCACACTTCCCCCCCTCAAAGCTGGGTGGTAGAAGTAACACCCTGCTTGACAAGGTAGTCATGCAGAGGACGACGGGCGTTACCCATGTCGGACTCAGGTACCCAGCTGTCCTCAGAAGGATCATAACCCTTCCAACGGATGAGAAGCTCCACGGTGCCATTCCGACGACGGCGGTGTGCGAGCACGGACTCGACCTCGTACTCGGGTTCATTCTGGACGAGGACGGGCGGTGGCGGCGGCGGTTGGCGTCCGACGAAAATTGTGTTTGGGTCCCGATAGGGCTTCAGAAGTTGGACGTGGAAGGCGTTGTGAATCTTCCAGGTAGCTGGCAGGCGTAAGCGGAAGGTAACAGGAGTGACCTGTGCTTCAACGAGAAAAGGTCCGCAGAAGCGAGGTCGAAGTTTAGATGGGAGATGGCTGATGTCCAGGTTGCGGGTGTCGAGGAGCACCTGGTCTCCCACAGAAATGGTGTGGTCGTTGCGATGGCGATCGGCCTGGCGCTTCTGTTGCTGTTGAATGTCAAGGAGGCGCTTATGGGTCCGATCCCAAAGTTGATGCATGGTTGTAATGAAATCATGTGCTGGTTGGACTGTAGCTGATGCTGTCGGTTTTTGTGGTGTGAGTGGGTGGCGTCCGTAGCAGAGGAAGAACGGCGTCTGTCCAGTAGCGGCATGTGTGGCGTTGTTGTAAGCAAACTCCAGAACGGGCAGGTGCAAGTCCCATTTGGAGATGTCGTCCCTGCAGGCTGCTCGGAGGAGTTGCTCAACAATTTGGTTGAGGCGCTCGGTCTGTCCGTCTGTCTGCGGATGGTATGCGGATGACATGGCGAGTTTGGTCCCGAGAAGAGACATAAGTTCCTTCCAGAACTTGCTGGTGAACTTGGGGTCTCGGTCGGAAATGAGTGTGGTTGGGATGCCATGCTGTGAGATGATGTGACGAACGAAGAGCTGTGCTGTCTCCTCGGTGCGTGCCGTCGTGTGTGTCGGGATGAAGTGTCCCATTTTAGAGAACTTGTCAATGACGACAAGGATGGCGTCATGACTGCTGGTGGTAGGTGGTAACCCGGTGATGAAGTCGAGGCTGACCACTTGCCACGGCTGTTCTGGGAGAGGAAGAGGTTGCAGTAGTCCCGCCTTTTTCTGCTTGCTGCTCTTCATCCGCTGACATGTATCACACGAGGTGACGAATTTCTGGACGTCGTCTGCCATATGGGGCCAGTAGTAGTGTTTGGCGATACCGGTGAGCGTCTTGTTGCTACCGAAGTGTCCGGCGTACAGGACGTCGTGGTATTCTTCGAGTAGTAACTGGCGCAAAGGAGGGTAATTGGGTACCCAGATTTTTGTTGATCCTTTCCGGTACGCGATGTCACTGTCCCACTGTAGCAGATGTCGCTTTTCTGCCAAGGGAATTTCGGGGTCGATGGCATACCCGTGGGTGAAGAGTCCCTTGAGTAGTGGATTCATCCCTTCGACCTGAATCGCGGCAACGTGTGCAGGCCGGCTGAGAGCGTCTGCTTTGTTCTTGTGGCCGGGCTTGTACACGATGTCGTAGTGGAAGTGTGTCTCGAGGAAGTCAATCCACCGGACCTGCCGCCTGGAAAGGTTGGGTTGTGTCTTCAAGTATTTCAGGCTGCAGTGGTCGGTGTAGACGGTTGTTCTTCGTCCTTCGAGATAGCATCTCCACGCTTTGAAGGCGATGATGATAGCAAGAGCCTCTTTGTCGTGTATCGGGTAGTTGAGTTCTGCCCCGTGCAGTTTCTTGCTGAGGTAGGCAATTGGTTGTAGTCCATTCCCCTGGTCTTGCATTAAGACTGCTCCCACTGCCTGGTCGCTGGCGTCAGCTTCGATTACGTAGTCGCGTTCGGGATCTGGCAAGATGAGTACCGGTGCAGACGTGAGTGCTTGTTTCAGCTGCTCCACGGCTTCCTGGTGCTTTGGTTCCCATTTGTAGGGCGTGTTCTTCTTCAGCAGATTCGTGAGTGGTGCTGCGATTTTCGCATACTGTGGCACGAACCTGTTGTAGTAATTAGCGAAGCCTAGGAACTGCTGCAACTCCTTCACGTTCTCGGGTGTCTTCCACGTACGTACGGCTTCGATTTTCTTGGGGTCGACGTGAACTCCTTGAGCGCTCACCATGTGCCCTAGGAACTGGACCTTTTCAAGGGCGAATTCGCTCTTGGACAGTTTGACATAGAATCGTTCTCGTCGAAGAATTTCGAAGACGCGTCGCAGGTGTTCGACGTGCTGCTTCATGTCGCGCGAGTAGATGAGTATGTCGTCCAAGTACACCACCACGCATTCGTCCAGAAGTGGTCGTAGAATGTGGTTCATTTCGGCTTGGAACGTGGCCGGCGCGTTGGTGAGTCCGAATGGCATGACCAAATACTCGTACGATCCGTACCGAGTTCGAAAAGCAGTTTTGTGGATAGAGTTGTCCGCCATCCGTATCTGCCAGTATCCGGACCGCAGATCCAGTTTGGAAAATACCGTAGCTCCCCGAAGCTGGTCAAGCAGGTCATGGATTCGCGGTATCGGATATTTATTCTTGATGGTCTGCTTGTTAAGAGCTCGGTAGTCGATGCACATGCGCAGGCTTCCGTCCGGTTTCGGTGTGAAGAGTACTGGGGCACCGTACGGCGAAGTGGATGGCCGGATGAGTCCTTTGGCTAGGAGATACTCGATCTGTTTTTTCATGTCAGTCAGCTCCGTAGGGCTGAGCCGATATGGTGCTCGGAAGGTCGGCTTCGAACCCGGTTCCTCCACGATCTCGTGTTGATGCGTTCGGTATGGCGGTAGCTCGTTCGGAAGATCGTCAGGAAGAATATCTTGGAACTCCTTTAATAATTCCTTGATTTTTTCTGGAGTTTCCGAGGCTTCCTCTCCGTCATTCTCCACCTCTGTTGCTATCGCCAGGAACCCGGTGTCGGTCCGCTTCACATCCTTCTCGAATCGTGCGAGTGTCTCTACTGGGATATCTCCAGTATCGTTCCAGTTGGGTAGCTGTACTCTCCGCCCATTGTTGTAGATGCTTGCGGTGCGGTTCACCCAGTTGATCTCGGGGTTGAATTTTTTCAGGAAGTCTCGCCCGAAGATCAAGTCAAGCCCTTTGATGTTGGTGATGGGGAGTGCAGGTCTCCAGCGCAGTGGTCCAATTTGTAGGTGTAGCACTGCTTCGCCGTGTACTGGTAACTTGCTGCCGTCCACCATCGTTGCAGAGAATCCAGAAGGCTTGTACTCTTCCCGAAGTCGGTCGATCACTGCCTTGTCGCAGACGGTGTGTGACGCTCCGCTGTCCACGAGTGCTTGGAGGCGTCGTCCTTTGCAGATGACCTCGAGCACGAGGGGCAGTCGTTGCTCGGAGTACCCAAAGATAGTTTCATTGATTGGGTCATAGGGTACATCCCAATACTCCGTACACACCTTTGTGTTGCTGTCTACTCCTGAGCTGGCAGCTGGCCGAGGCTGCTTGGAGAACGGCTCTTCTCCAGGGCCCGGAGTTTCCTTGACGACTGTGCGCGTCACTGATGCCGAAGAACTGGATGCATCCGTAGGAGGAGTTCGGGGTTTGTGCAGCTTCTTGTAGACCCCCAGCTTCCTCTTGAGCTGCTTCAGCTCCACCGACGTCTTCCCTGGGGAGCGGGTAGTCGTTGTGGGCTGGTGTCGGGAGAGGACGTTGACTCCGTGGAAAGGTCGGCTTCTTTCCACACTCCTTAATTTGGTCCCCAGGTTGTCCGGTACCGGTATAATCTCCACAGCTGTCTGCTTCTTTTGGAGTCCCTCCCGAAATTTCTCCAAGGCTCTAGCCCCTCGAACATCATAAGTTTTCATTAAAGCATCTTTATAAGATAACTTTAACGAATTCTTATAATTTCTTGGGTCTTCAAGGAGTTTCCCCATCTCGGCAGAGTCTTTTTTCGCGGAGTCGTATTTTTCCTCGGCGATTTTCCCTGGCGAGGACTGGTCGTGGGGTGGAGATTTTCCCCCATCATTTCCTCCTTCTCGCGTCGAATCAGCTTCGTCGAAGTTGATTTTCCCGGAATCCCGTGGCCGCTTTCGGATCTTTTTATTTTCGCCAGCTAGATCCGCAATCACTGGCGACTCCCGTTTTTTGTCTTCTGATTGGCCGAAAGATTTCCGCCACTGTTGCGTGCCCGATACTCTGCACGTGCGGCCTTCATTTTGTTGCAGTCGAAGATTCGGTGGCCCGGCACCCCGCAAAAATCACACGTGTAGTTGGTGTTTTTCGGACGTGGCCGCCCCTCGAATCTGTCGACTTCCATCGGGTCGGCGAACGTGGGGTGAGCCGAGCGGTCGCCCTGTCGCGTACTGCCGACGTGCGTCCGTCGTGTTCCGGCGTTGACCATGTCGAAGCGCTCCGCTGCCGAAACGACGTCACTGTAGCTCGCGTAGTTTGACGCTGCGACTTGTCGTTTGACTGCGGTCTTCAGCCCGGCAAGGTACGATTGTACTTTTTCCCCTTCGGTCAGGTCGGGAATGCGGTTATAAAATTCCTCCATCTGCTGCGTGTACTGCGCTACACTCCCGAACTGTCGGTGTCGATGAATTTTTTCCCGGGCAAGGAAACTCGAATTTATCGGTTCGAAGTGTTTCAGCAGGTCAGCGCGGAACTGCTGCCACGTGGCTTCACCGTGGATGAAAGTACTGTTGCCGCCAATCCACTCGAGTGCCGGCCCTCGCATCAGTGTCGCCGCGAGTCGTACACGTTGACCGTCCCAGACTGGCGAGCTCCATCCGACGGCTGCGAAGTAGATCTCCATCCCGGCGATCCATCTGCGGGCGTCGGAGTTTCGATCGCTCGGATCGAACGGCTCAGGTGGGCGCGGTTTCGGAGCCTCGAGAAACTGCTGCGACTGCTGCGTCGTCGCCGTTGTCGTCTCGTGCTGCGCTCCGGCGAGTCGAGTTACTCGCTCGAACTGGTTTCGCCACGCTTCGCGATCCGCTCGCATTTCCTCCTGAAGGGCTGCGATGCGCGCGAAGAGCTGCTGGGTAACCTCGGCGTTGTCGAAGGTTGCCATCCTGTTCAAAACACGCACGGAGGGGGTAATTCGAAAATCGCGGAGCTGGTGCTTACCAGAATCGGCGTCGAATTGGTCGCCCCCTGCGGTTTTTCGAGGCAGGTTTTCCCGCTGCTGCTGCTTTGTTGAGCGCGGCCGAGTGAGAAAAGCTCTGATTACCAAGTGTCACAGGATCGAATGTGTCGAGGAAAGGTTGCACTATCGATCAGTACAAGGTGCTTTTATACTTCCAAATTACATCAGGTAACCAGGTTTATCTTATCCTAAGGAAATAGACCCTTCTAGAAGATAGAATCACCCTGCGTATAGCCACGCGAGGCTATTGGCTTTAAGGGATTACGGCAGGATTACGCTAGATATAGCGCACCAGTACATCCCAAGCTTGGTCGGTGATATAATTATAATAGCAGGATAAACCAAAGGTTAATGGGAAAGGAAGAATAGGAAACCAAATGAGAGGCGGTAAAAAAGAGAAATGAAAAGGGAAGGAAATAAGAAAAGGCCAAGTGGTGTAACGGGGTCGTACTCTCACAGGCGCGGTGGGGCCCAGGAGGGGCGCAACGGGGCTAGGAGGCGCGACGGGGCAAGGAGGCGCGACGGGGCCCAGGAGGGGTGCGGCGGGGCTAGGAGGCGCGACGGGGCCCAGGGGGGGGCGCGACGGGGCCTAGCTAGGGTACGGGCGGAAGCGGTAGGTGGGGGATTCTAACCTACGCGTGATACCATGTTAAAGTAAGAACTGAATAATTTACTAGAAGGTGAAACCCTAGAAAAAATACTAGTTGGTTGTACTCACTAGAAACATACCTTAGTCTAGCCTATAACTTCTACATAGCTAATATGTATAAGTTGACAAGGGTATTATATACGGGGGATTACGGTAGCTGGTGCTGATTAGGCGTGGGAGCGGTGGCTGCATCTTGGAGTTGCATGGAGGCTTGAAGGAGTTTATCATGCGCGATGGTAACGTAGAGCTCCTTGGCATTATTGCTGCGCCAACGGCCAAGTCGCTTGAACAGCCGGTCGGATATCCCCAGGCTGGCTGCCGCTGGAGCAGGGCCCTTACGAAAGGAGTGGGTGCCGAGGTGTGCGCTATCAAGGCCGGCCCTAGTGAATGCTTCAAGGCACCAGTTCCAGATGGTGGTGTATGAAGGTGCATGGTCCTGTGGAGTTGCCGTGCTGCTGTTCCCGAAGACTCGGATCAATGGTCTGTGTGGGGTGGAGGTGTGACCCGCGAGGAGAAGAAAGTGTCGTGTGCAGCGTACCGGGCAGTATGGGCCGGAAGTGGCGGCGACCGGGTTCCACGTGCCCCTGCTTTCCTGGTCGGTCTTGGAGTGCGGGATGAGCAGCCACATCGCCTCAGGCTCAAACTGTATATCATGCCATTGGAGGCTGACAAGGTCGGAGTAACGTAGGAAGGCGGCAAACATAAGGATGGGGATGAGTCCTTTCTGGTACTCGGCCGGGCGGGTGGACTCCAGAAAGGGGCGTGCCATGGTGTGCACTTGGTGCAGCGACAAAGGTTCCTTGTTCCGGGTGGGGCGCGGGCCATGGCGTTTGGCAAATTTGCGCACTTGTAATGCAAATGGTCCAGTCGAGGGAGAGGGCTCGCCAGTCATGCGATGCGCGAAGGCGACGGCAGAGCATGTAAGCGATATGGCGGATGTGGTGGCCTGGTGATTTAGTGCATGAATGAGGTAGAGTGCCAAGGTCATATCCGTTGCAGGCAAGTAGCTCAGCGTCACCTTCATGGAGAAGGAGAAAAAATTGAGCCAGTAGGGATCATACGTGCGGATGGTGGAAGGGGCATGGACATGGGTGATTACGTGTAGTAGTTGCGTTTGCAGCTTCGTTATAATGCCTGAAAAGGTACAGCGTATAGTACAATTATTATTATTTTTTATACGTGACATGCAGTGCAATCATCTGACTAAGAGGAAAGCCTTGTCCTGCGAAAGCGAGTGCGTAGGTGCCGGGGCGTAGGCATTGGCTGCCGTGGGTGAGGGGAATGTGTGCCGTTACTTCTGGCACCCAGGCGTCTGGTGCCTGTTGGAGGAGTGGCCACCATGATGCTCCCGGCCACTCGGGAATGACCAAGGTCACCTCAGCGTGTGTGCGTTTAGCGTGCCGTAATGTGGCTGGAATGAGGTTGGGAGGGGGAAACGCAAAGCCGCGCTTGTGCTCCCAGCTGAACGAAAAAGCGTCAAACATTGCGGCCGTAGGGTGTGGAATCTTGGAGCAAAACCTCTTCAGCTGAGCGTTGTGCACATTTGCGAAGAGATCGATAGAGTGGGGACCCAGGCGGCGATCCAAGAGCCGGAACCACGGGGCTTGGAGGGAGTAGTCATCGTGGTCTTGGATTTTTGAAAGTTCGTCGGCATGCGCATTCAGTTCTCGCGGGATCCATTCGACAGCTAGCCTTGTCCGGTGTTCCAGGCAGAGGCGAATGATTGCTTGACATAGTAGCGTAAGCGTGGGGTGGCGCGATCCATCTTTGCGTAGGATGAATACCACGCCTTGATTGTCTACCCGAACGAGAACGTGGCGCTTGGGTATGCGGGCGGCGAAAGTTTGGAGAGCCCATAAGACTCCTTCGAGTTCCCGTCGAGTGCTGGAGGTGGGCAGTAGTTCCTCGGGCATGCGAGCACTAGCTTCAATGGGTGTCCTAGGAAGTTGTGTTAGGGTGGCGCCCCAGCTGTGTGCGCTTGCATCGACGTGGATGACGGCATCGAACTAGTGACTGAGATGGAATGGGGTTCCGTTGAACTTGTCGAACTGCGCGAGCCAAAAATGCAGCTCCTGCACTGCTGTCGACGACAAGTGTGCCTTGGCATGCCAAGAGATGGCGTCGGCAATAAGTCGAAGGAGCTCGTGACTAAAGGCACGTGCCGTAGCGCCCAATGCCAGATTCATGGAGGCCAGCATTCCTGTGACTCTCGCAAGGGACCGGATAGGAACCGGTCGTTCCTCTTGTCCCTGGGTGATGAGGGCTTGGAGTGAAGCAAAAAGTTGTGCTCGACGTTCGAGTCCGACGGAGAAGGTGCCTTGGGCGGCATCAATCTCCAGGCCGAGGAAAGCTATCTGGCGCGAGGGGTGTAGATGTGACTTTTTGCCGTTTATAACAAAACCTGCTGCCTTCAGGTCATGAACAATAGCTGCACAGGTCGAGCGTGCATCCGAGTGGGAGTTGCAGAGGAATAGTAAGTCGTCGACATATGGAACAACCCGCACGCCGCTTGCCCGCCATCGCTTTGCCAGTTGTTTGATCAGTTGTGTGAAGACGAACGGGGCAGTGGCAAGCCCAAACGGGAGCGATATGAAGGAATAGTAGTCTCCTGAAATCCCAAGAACTTCCAGCAGGAGGGGTGGATCTTGACATGGTGGTAGCCTGACTTTAGGTCGATGGAGAAGATCCAATCGTCTGGGCGGATGAGTTCGGCTACCCTGTTCAAGCCTTCGTACTTGAACTTGGGGATGTCAAGGTAGTTGTTGACTTTGCGCAAGTCAAGAATGAGGCGACACTTGTCGCGCTGCTCCACCACGTTAAGTGGACTGACACACATGAGCGCGTCCTTTGTAGGGACCTTGACGGCGGCACCCGAGGTGACGAGGTCGCGAATCGCTCCACGAGTGAAGTCCAGGTGTGTGCGAACTCCAGCATGATTGCTATCCTCAAAGGCATGTGGCACGGCTTCCTTCCAGCGAAGCCAATATCCTTTCGCAATGATGGACAAGATGAAACTGCTATTGCACCATGAGCACCACCAGTGTAGGGCATGACGCAATCGACTATGCATGACAGTTACGTCCTTGTCTGTAAACGCGTACTCGTAGGGGTCATGTTCGTTGCGTAACCATCCTTTCCCGATTTCTGCTGGACCAAAGGGTCAACTGGCAAGAATCACATAGGTACCCAAGTGAGCGAGACCAGACAATTTGCCTAAAGGGTGGATGTGTCATAGTCAATTCCAGGGGGGGGCATAGCTCCCATTCAATTGGCAAAGCAAGAGTGGCTCATGTTCAATTGCAAATGGGGCATGGCTGATATTCATGCCTTCTCCCTTCAGTGCTCGAGGCTTCGTCCCTCTCTCTCTCTCTCTCTCTCTCTCTCTCTCTCTCTCTCTCTCTCTCTCTCTCTCTCTCTCTCTCTCTCTCTCTCTACCTCTCTCTACCTCTCTTGCTCTCTCTCTGTATACCTATCTTTCTACCTCTTTCTTGATCTCCATCTCTCTCTCTCTCTCTCTCTCTCTCTCTCTCTCTCTCTCTCTCTCTCTCTCTCTCTCTCTCTCTCTCTTGCTCTCTCTCTTTCTCTCTCTCTCTCTCTCTCTCTCTCTCTCTCTCTCTCTCTCTCTCTCTCTCTCTCTCTCTCTCTCTCTCTTTCGCTCGCTCGCTCTCTCTTTCTCTCTCTCCCTCTCTCTCTCTCTCTCTCTCTCTCTCTCTCTCTCTCTCTCTCTCTCTCTCTCTCTCTCTCTCTCTCTCTCTCTCTCTCTCTCTCTCTCTCTCTCAAGCGGTCCGTGCATTTCTGGAACCTGAGTACATATTAGGAACTTGTCGGCATGGAAGGAATATACCAAGAAACTACCCACCTACTGCCACTCTAGCGCCGGCTCTAAGACCGCAAAACAGTCAGCCGGGGAGAGGGACTCATCAGGTGGGTCTATTGGCGGATCCTCTGCCTGGGCCGCCTCGTTCACCTTCTTGAGGTAGGACGAGGCCTGGGCCTGCTGGAGGGTGCAGGACCAGCGCTGGCGGAACTGGTGCAGTAGCTTAGCTGCCTGATAAGTGGCGGGCGCTGCATTGAAGAGCTTCCGAGCGGCCGCCTCTGCTAGGAGCTTGAGGAAGGCCGGCACTTCCCAGCATGGGCAGCCGTACGTCTCGACTGCCAAAGGGAAGAAACCCACATAGGCCGGCCGATTTTTGTAGTGGTCGATTTTCTTGTCTGCTAGCTCGCGTGCTGCATGTCCACGGCCCTTGCGGGCTGTGGGGTCCCGGCTTCCGATTGGGTCCGTGACAGTGACGTCGCAGATCCATACTGCGGCCGTCCCACGGTCTCGGATGGCGAGGTCCGCCTTGTGGCCATCGACGGGGCAGAAGATGGTGGTCTCCTTGTAGACGATGAACCCCGCCTCCTGGCCCATGCGTATGCACTCATCCCGCAACGCATTGTGTGTGTCGGTCCGCCCGTGTCCAGTGCCGCAGCAAAAGAGGTGGTTCGGGAGCCGCGGGTCCGTGATCTCGGTGCGGTACACGCAGTCACTACGTCGGGGCGTGGAGAAGGGGAGGCCAAGGCGGAAGGCCAGGGCTATGGAGAAGTGTGCGGGTGCGAGGCGCAGTGATGGGGACAGTGGGATCGCTTGTAGCCAGTCTCCTGCTCCATAGCCCGAGAGGGAGAGCATCCACTGGGTGTGGCCCATGTATGGGTTGGGGACCATCCTTCGGGTCTCCGCTACCTGGTCGGCGTATCGCTGGGCCTGCACCTCCAGTGCCAACCGGTGCTGTGGGCTCCAGGCGCTCATTCTGGAGCAGCAAGCGTGCGGGTGGTGGGAGGGCCGCTTCCGCCTCGGACAGCCATGAAGCCTGTGAATGGGGGGGCGAGCTGGGCAGCGGCCAGCGCTAGTGGGGTGTCTGGCGGGGGTCGGAGGGAGGTCAGGAGGGCGTGGGTGTGGTGCGCGCTGGTAAGGAAGGAATAAGTCCCTTCCACCAGTGGGTCAGTGATGCCGAGCCCCCCCAGGGACGGGGGTAAAGAAGCCTGCGCCCATGTGCGGGCCAGCTCCTGCTCCCCCCGGGGCGGGCGCAGACCGCACGCCTGGAGAAGGGCATGGAACATTCTTCTGCGGGGAGGAGCTGCTGAGGGGTCGTCCGGATGAGGTATGATACGCGCTTGCTGATGCAGCGGGATAGGAGGAGGGCGCTGGTTTGGGGGTCCATGTCGGAGAGAAGCGCAAGCGGGGAGGTCAGAGAAGCTATGCGAGTCCGGAGGAATGCCGCTGCGCTGTTGTCTGGTCCGACGTGGCTGCCGAGTACTTGCAGCCCTTCCCCATTGAAAGGGATGTTTGGGGGGAGTTCCGGTGCCGTGGGGCGGTTGCGTGCCCAAGCGGCACATTTAGCTGGGTTGTGCGTCAAGCCAAGCTTGCACAGCCCCGTCGTGAAGTGGGCGAAGGCTGCGGTGCATGCAGCTGGTTCGCCGGCGAGTGTTACGTCGTCCGCGTATGCTAGGGTCAGCACTTGCGGGAAGGCGCGGGCCGTCGCCTGGAGCGCGGGATGCATCCCCGCCGCAAAAAGTAGCGGGCCGACCGGGTCTCCCTGGCGGACGCCCCGCTCGCTTAGCAATGGCGGGCTGTTGAAGGCGGCGTCCAGGTAGAGCGCGGAGGGCCGGCCGTAGGAAAGCTTGGTCAAGGGGAGCAGCGGTCGGAGTGGTGAGTTGGAGAGCCCGTCGAGGATGGCTTGGCGTTCGATGCTGTTGAACGCGTTGGTGAGGTCAACCTGTATTACCAGCGAGTCTGGCTGGGCAGTGGAGAAACTGCGTGTGGAGTGGACGACGGCCTCTCCGCCACCCGGGACTGCTACTCCGTACTGTAGGGGCAGGAAGTGCCTGCGCGCCGCCTCGGTTATAGCGACTAGTCCGCTTTTGGCGATGATGCGGTGCAGGCACTCGCCCACTGCAATAGGGCGGGTGCCACCGTCGGGCTTCACCAGTGCGATAAGCCGTGAGGGGGTGAGGAGCTCGGCCACTTCCTCTGGTAAGTCTCCTTTCATAGCCGTGGTGACAAGGGAGTAGAGGCCGTCCGCTACTGTCGTGTCTGTGAAAGCGGCGTCGCGCAAGTGCTCAAATGTCATGCCCGACGGACCGGCTCCAACTCCATTTTCGCACTGGGACAGCAGTTTGGCGAAGGTAGGTTTGTCGAGGGAGAGTGGGCTTTCCGATTGGGCAAGCTCGGGCCAGGTAACCGAGTAGGCCAGCGAGGTGGGGTGTTTCGCTTTCAGCGCCTCGAGTACCGCTGCGGAAGGGGTGCTGACCGGCGTGGACTCGAGGGCGAGGACAGCTCGCCGGAGGCTGCCACGTTTCGCGAGGCCCTCTGCGCGCGCAATTTTGCCGAGGTTGTCAGCGACGTGGCGAGGGGGCGGGGGCAGGTTGACCGAGTCAACTGCCTCTTGGTACAGTGACTCCCAATCACCGTTGAGGAACAAGCGTAGCCGTCTTGCGATTTCTTTCCAGTCTGGTTTTCGTGGCGAGCCCAGGCGAAGGGTCAGGCGAGGGGTGAAGAGTAACAGCCGCCACCCCGGTGTTGATTTCGGATTTTTCGCCAGGTGCAGGAGTGGGATGAGCAGGGCGAGTGCGAGGTGTGGGCGAAGGTTTGGCGGGACTCGGCGGCAAATGGGGGGTTGTCGGTTGTCGTACAGGGGCAGCAAGTCCCAGCTGGCGATGCCGGCGAAGCGTGATTTGTCCGCTACGAGCTGCTCAGCAGACAACGCAGCTACTTGCGAGAATCCTGACGCCAGCGGGGCCCGTGCATTCTGGCCCTGCGGCAGTTCCCCGCTTTGGGGTGTTGGGCGAGATCCGCTTCGGGGCCGTCGGCTGGCTGGTGCTGGCTGGTCAGCTTGCGAGCGGTCTTCCTCTGTGCTCGATTCGGCCTGGCCATCGGGTATGTAAGTCCTGTCTGCGGCTTCCTCTTCAGCAGTTGCTTCTTCCGCTCGCCTTAAAGCCCTTTGCGCGGCATGCTGGAACTCGTTCCTAGGCCCTCCGTCGCTCCGTGTCTGTCCGCCTCGCCCTCGGCGCCTACTCCGTCCCCTGCCTTGCCGTCCTCTCTGCCCACCGTTGTGCCGTGCCGCTCCTTGACCCCCCCCACCCCTTGCTGGTGCCTGGCTGTCGGCCTCCTCCTCCGTAGGCGCCGGTGCCGTTATCACCATTGCCGGTAATGGATCTCTTGCGCTCGCCACGCGGCCATCGGCGTGTGTTGGATGCGCCGACCCTTGTGGCGTCAACGGTGACTGTTGGGACTGCGCCTGGTGGTCATCGGCCCGCTCCGACGACCCGTGGCACGGTATCAAGGGGGTACCGTCGGGGCATCCTGCCTGACCCTCGATTTCGCGAGCTGCTTCCAAGCGCAGTCGCATCACCAGTGGGTCTTCCTCGTGGTGTGCGGGTGCGACGTTCCCCCCCTCCACAGATTCCATGCTTGCGCCGCGCGAGGGACGGCCCGCAGTATGGTCGTCGGCAGCAGCTCGTCGGTCTCGCGGACTGTCTTGGCTGGGTGGCGGAGCTGCTAGATCTGCTGCACAATGCCTTTGAGCGTCGGCCTCCGGTGGCGCGAGATCCTGTGCTGTCCCGACGACAGCGTGCTCGGGCCGAGCAGGCCGTCGCCATGCTGCTGTGGGGCCTGGTGTACGTGCCCTTGCAGCCCCGGGTGGCGGTGGACGAGGCGGCTGCCGCACCCCTTGCTGTGACGGCGTTGTCCCGTGCTGTGTCGGCCGAGACTGCGTCTGGCCTTGCGGCTGCTGCAGCATCTGTTCTCCGTGCTGTGAGGCTGGTGATGGCGCGGCTCCTCCCCCCGGGTTGACTAGCGGACCGGTTTTCACCCTCTTCACTCCCATGGCGGAGTTCGCACGCCACGGGAGGGGTACAGAGGGTGTGTCCGCGGACTTATCCGGGAGAGATGTTTATGTATTGCTTATGATGATGTAAATGCTGGTGTCTTGTAAATGTATGTGTTGCCTCTCGCCGTACACCACTCCCTCCTTCGCGCGGCCGTAGGCCGCGCCGCGAGCGCCAGCGGCCGGAGGCCGCCGGCGCAAGCCGGCCGCCAAAACCAGGGAACTTGCCAAAGGCTAAAAAGAATAATGAAGGATGAGTAGGGAGCAGAGGGCCTTTATAGCTAGCTCTCTCTCTCTCTCTCTCTCTCTCTCTCTCTCTCTCTCTCTCTCTCTCTCTCTCTCTCTCTCTCTCTCTCTCTCTCTCTCTCTCTCTCTCTCTCTCTCTTTCATCAAGGCCTTGCAATTTTTTTATTTTTTATTTATTTATTTTTGCAATCTCAGTTTCAATGACCATAACGGCATGCATGTTCCATACATGGAATAACACAAGGTTCTATGCCCACGGCCTTCTCTGCCCCTAGGGCTATCCTAGTCTACTAGGCCATTTGCCTTGTCCTAGGCTGGCCACCAGCCATGCACCCCCGGTGCAGCCCAATATGCTTCTTGCATATTGGCGAAGGGCACCGCCCTTACCCCCGCTCACACCATCGGTGAGGGGCCTTATGCTCCACGCCCGCCCATGGGGCACGCGTTAGCCATGTGACCTGGCTGGCCACAGCGGAAGCACACGCCCTTGAAGCGTGGCTGCTGGCACGTGAGAGGGGGGGAGCCTTTGAGGTCAATTTCTCCGTCACGGCCACCGGGACGACAACCACGGGGGTAGATGGCGCGTGCGCGGTTGAGTGCAGCCACGTCGGCGACTGCCAGCTTGTAGGAACGGGACGTCAGCACACTCTTGGACTGGTAGAGC